TGCAGTAGTCTGGGAGCTGACCTTGTTCATGAAGACAGAGGCAAAAAAAGCATTGAGTACATTAGCTTTTTCCACATCCTCTGTCACTAGGTTGCCTCCCTCATTCAGTAAGGGGCCCACACTTTCCTTGACTTTCTTCTTGTTGTTAACATACCTGAAGAAACCCTTCTTGTTACTCTTAACATCTCTTGCTAGCTGCAACTCCAAGTGTGATTTGGCCTTCCTGATTTCACTCCTGCATGCCTGAGCAATATTTTTATACTCCTACTTGGTCATTTGTCCAATCTTGTGTTTAAGATCAGCAAGGATTTCACTGTTAAGCCAAGCTGGTCGCCTGCCATATTTATTATTCTTACTACACATCGGGATGGGTTTGTTCCTGCAACCTCAATAAGGATTCTTTAAAATACAGCCAGCTCTCTGTACATGCTCTTCTGTACATTACTTAAAAATCCAGGAGTTGTAGGGTATGGTTTTTCCCCTTAATACGTGTGCCAAATTATTCACAGAATATAGGTGACAACTTAAATTGCAACCAAATTTTACAATTTTTTTCATATATAATATCTCTTTATGATTAAAGAGATACTTTCCTGGCAAGAATGGAGAACACCCATCAACATTTGAAGCAAACAGGAATTGGTCTTCTTGCAGAAGAAACACAAGGTATGTCTACACTGCAATAAAACACCCATGGCTAGCCTGGGTCAGCTGGCTCAGGCTCATGGGGCTACAATATTGCAATGCAGATGTACGGACTCAGGATGGAGCCTGGCTCAGGACCCTCCCCGTGCATGGGGTCCCAGAGCCCAGGCTCTAGTCCGAGACAGAGCAAGTACACTGCAATTTTATAACCCCTCAGCCCAAATCCCCTGCAAGCCTGAGTCACCTGACATGGGCCAGCCATGGGTCTTTTATTGCAATGTAGACATACCCACAGAATCCTAAACTCATGACTTGTCAGGGGCAAAAAATGATGAAAGAAATGATTTATTGGTGCTTAAATAATTGACTTCTAGAGAAATTTGTCCTGCTACCTCATTACATGCTTCATATTTTCTCAGAATCCTAACAAAGTTATTCTGCCATTCCCTAAAGTACTCTTGAAACCAAACTCTGCAGCCTGGCTCTGGAACTCTGACCGGGGGCAGCTGGTCATCGGGAGCTAATAGAGCTAATGCCCACCAATAACTGTATAGCATTGTGATGCCATGCAGTCCCATCTCCAGCTACTGGGGGACTCCTGATGGGGCTGGAACCCCTGGAGTATACAGTACAGCTGGTTGCCACTACAGGACCCTTGCTCCTGCAGCAAATAGACTGGAAGCAGGAAAGGGAGGAGTCACAGCACATCTTTTGTGGGGCTATTTCAGATCACAGGCTCCTTGCTTCCTCGCTCTTTTGGAGTGGGATTTTGAGCAAAATAGTACACACTTCTATGTGTGACATTTCATACAATTTTTAACTGGCTAATTTGCATAATTGGAATTAATTTGGATATAGCCATGAACATCAGTTTGGGCATCTGTATGGATTTAGTGCTGATGAAGGATACTGGAGTGGCATCACATTTCTCTCACAGGGTAATCCCTGACCAGTGGGAAAAGGCAATGGGCAGAAAGGACCTTATTCTTTGCTCTTCTCAAAAGAGATGAAGCGGGAAGGCTTGTAGGGAGCCAGACATGACCAGGGAAGTATGATGGGGTTGCAGTTGCTGAGAAGGTTGGTACAGAATGGTGGTATTTAGTTTGTTTCCTTTTATCAGCCCCCTGCCTCTACCTTGTCCCCCACAACAGCTTGTCATCTCTGTCCCCTTCAGCAGCACCTGTCATGCATCATCTTCAATAGCTCCTGTTTTCCCCTTTCCCTCCTCCTGTAGTGCCTCCCTGCCCCTGCCTGTGAGGCTGCCTCCTTGCCTCTCTGCTGCTCCATGTGGCGGAGAGCTGACAGGGGGTACAGAGGGGCTAGAAGGGGTGTCAGAGGCCACCTAGCTGCTTCTTCAGCAGGTGCTACAGTGGCTCCTGGTGGCAGCCAGCCTGTATAGCCCAAGCCCTCCTGAATGTGTGATGAGGTCAGAGTTGCACGAATGCCTGAGAGGCAGCTTGCGTTTATGAATGTCACACAAATGCATGTCATTTGGCAGGTCTGCCCTGGTGAGGGATGGTATAGGAGAGGCATATTGTGAGCATGGGAGTGTCCGATAGGAGAGACTTCAGTGTTGAGAACCATAGAAATGTAAGACTGGCAGGGACCTTGGTAGGTCATCTAGTCCAGTCTCCTGGTTTTGATGTGTCAAGTGGTTGAGAGTAGGCAGAAGAAGGATTCTCAGTTTAAGTGTGGGTGAAGGATGGGGGTGAGAAGGTTGAGCTGATGGGGGCTAAGGATGTTTTGAGCTGGCAGGGAGATGGATTAGGCTAATAGGATTATGTGCAGAAGAGAATAGAATCAATAGGTATACTGGGGTGTGTGGGTGTGTGCAGACAGTAGGGGGAAATATTAAGGTGCAGTAGAACCTCAGAGTTACGAACACCTCGGGAATGGAGGTTTGGAGGTTGTTCATACCTCTGAACAAAACATTACGGTTGTTCTTTCAAAAGTTGCATAGAATCATAGAACTGGAAGGGACCTCGAGAGGTCATCTAGTCCAGTTCCCTGCACTCATGGCAGGACTAAGTATTATCTATTATTAAGGCTCCATGTTTGTCACAATTCCGTGACTTCTGCAGCAGCCCGTGCTGCTGGCCCAGGAGCCGCCTGAGCAGCTCGTGCAGCCCCTAGGCCAGTTGCACTGGCTGCTGCTGGGGCAGTCTCAGGCCCCCTCCCACCAGCAGGAGTTTGGGTGTGGGAGGGCTCAGGGCTTGGGATTGGGGGCGGCGCTTACCTGGGGGAAAGCTCCCTGGAAGAGTGACAGGAACTCCCCTCCCTCAGCTCCTAGCTCCACGTGCTGCCTCCGCCCACAGGCACCGCCCCCGCAGCTCCCATTGGCCATGGCTCTCAGCCAATAGGAGCTGCAGAACCAGGGCTTGGGGCGAAGCGGAGGCAGCACGTGGAGCTAGAGGTCGCTGCTTCCCAGGAGCTGGATTGGGAACCTGAAATTTCTGAATCTTACCTGAATCTTCTTTACATAGGAGCATCCAGCCTCAGGAAAGTAGTTTTGCAAAACCAGTTTCTCAGGTGAGCTTTTGGGTGAATCCAACTCCCATTTTTCTTCAGTGGGAATATTTCCATTGACTTTAAAGGCCTTAACAGGAAAGTTCAGAGACAGAGTTGCTCATAACCCCTTACATGTGTATTTAGTGCTAAGAAAGGAAACAAGAGATTGATGTGATGGAGAAGAAGTTATCAGTGGAAATATAGTTCTGGCTAGCAATTTATTTTTATTGAGTTGTCTAATGTAAATGTAAGAAACATAATCCTCTTGCAGTGTCCGCAATCGATCAGAGAGTCTTGTCAGAGATGCATGTCCTGAAATGTTGCTACTTGTAGGTTGAAACCATTACAAGCCACAGTGTTAAGTAATTAATATATTTATGAATTCTCCTGTGGCTAATGGGATGAGTGATAATGATGGAACTTTTACAAAAATATGTCTAAGGCCTGGTCTACACTGAAAGGTTAGGTCGAATTTAGCCGTTAGGTTGATTTTATAAGGAATGCATCTACACAACCAACCCCGTTCCGTTGACCTAAAGGGTTCTTAAAAATCGACTGCTGTAATCCTCCCTGATGAGGGGAGTAGCGCTAAAATCAACCTTCCTGGGTCGAATTTGGGGTACTGTAGACGCAGTGCTGTGAAATTCAATGGTATCCCAGAGTGCTCCAATGTCACCGCTCTGGACAGCACTTTCAACTCCGATGCACTAGCCAGGTACACAGAAAAAGCACCGGGAACTTTATTTCCTGTTTGGTCAGCGTGGCGAACTCAGCAGAAGGGGTGACCACGCAGTCCCAGAATTGTAAACGAGCTCCAGCATGGAGCGAATGGGAGCCATTGGATTTGATTGCAGTATGGGGAGAAGAATCTGTACAGGCAGAACTCCGATCCAGCAGATGAAATGCTGATATATATGCCAAAATTGCACAGGGCATGGTGGAGAGAGGCTACAACATGGATGCACAGCAGTGCTGTGTGAAAATTAAGGAGCTCAGGCAAGCCTACCAAAAGACAAAGGAGGCAAATAGTCGCTCCAGGTTAGAGCCCCTGACATGCTACTTCTATGATCAGCTGCATGCCATTCTAAGGGGGGACCCTACCACTGCCCCACCACTGTCCGTGGACACCTGCAAGGTGGCAGCCTCACACAACATGGAAGAGGATTTTGTGGATGAGGAAGAGGAGGAGGAGGAGAATGTGCAGCAGGCAAGCAGAGAATCCATTCTCCCCTGCAGTCAGGACCTTTTCCTCACCCTGGAGCAAATACCCTCCCAGGGCAAATTGTTCCTGGTCCCTGAAGGCAGAGAAGGCACTTCTAGTGAGTGCAGATTTGTAACTACACTACAGGGGTTAAAAGCAATTGTGTTTAGTGTTTGATTTGCCCTGAACAATTGGGATGCATTTGTGGCCAGTACAGCTACTGGAAAAGTCTGTTAACGTGTCTGGGGATGGAGAGGGAATCCTCCAGGGACATCTCCATTAAGCTCTCCTGGAGGTACTCTGAAAGCCTTTGCAGAAAGTTTCTGGGGAGGGCTGCCTTATTTCGTCCTCCATGGTAGGACACTTTACCACACCAAGCCAATAGCAAGTAGTCTGGAATCATTGCAGCACAAAGCATGGCAATGAAAGGTCCTGGGTTTTGGTCGTATTCAGGCAACATTTGGTCTTTATCTTTCTGTGTCAGCCTCAGGAGAGTGATATTCATGGTCACCTGGTTGAAATAGGGGACTTTTTGTAAGGGAACAGTAATACCCACTGTTTGGTGATCCCTGACCCATTAGACCCCGGTCATGCTGGGCTGTTTGCGCTTGCCTAAGAGGGATCATCCCAGAGAAAAGCCACATGGAGGGAGAGGGATGGGCGTGCTGCACATCCACCCCAAAACCGCAGCCCCTCATTTTAAACTGCAACCGCAGCCCCTCCTTTTAAATGGCAAACCCAATCAGCATTGGTTGCCACGGGAAAGGAGGGTGCTGCAGTTTAAAACCATTCTCACATGTTATGAACGTGGAAGAAGCCAACCTTGTGTAGCCTTTGGCTTACCATGGCTGCCTGGAAACCGAATTCTGTTGCCCAGCTGCTGTGTGTGATGTGTCACCATAGCAGCAGACACTCAATATAAAAGGCAAAATACGACCTTGTACCTAAAACACCTGTCTACTGTGAATTGCTTGATTCACTGTGAGTCTCCCTTTTGTTCTCAGAAATGTATCTTCTTAAATTCTACTCTCCCTTTACCGCCCCCTGCAGCTGCAAATGTTTCTATGCTCCCCGTATCAACTCCATCCCTGAGTTTATCGCAGATTAGAAAGCGAAAAAAAATGCACTCGCGATGACGTTTTCAGAGCTCATGCAGTCCTCCCGCACTGAGAGGGCACAGCTGAATGCATGGAGACATTCGATGGCAGAGGCCAGGAAAGCATACAGTGAGCGTGATCGGAACACGCAGGAGGAGATGCTGAGGCTAATAGAGGAGCAAATGGACATGATGAGGCATCTGGTGGAGCTGCAGGAAAGGCAACTAGAGTTCAGAACCCTGCTGCATCCATTGTGTAACCGCCTGCCCTCCTCACCAAGTTCCATATCCTCCTCACCCAGACGCCCAAGAACGCGGGGGTGGGGAGGCTCTGGGCACCCAGCCACTCAACTCCAGGGGATGGCTCAAGCAACAACAGGCGGTCATTCAAACAGCTTTGATTTGTAGTGTGGCTACAATAAGCAATGTGACCTTGTCCTTCCCTCCTCCCCCACCCCACCCAGGCTACTTTTTACTAATCAGCATTGCCAGTGATCTCAAGTTTTTTTTAAGAACGAATGGATTCAGAACAATAGTGACTTTATTTCCTGTGCCAGCTGTGGTCAAAGGGGCAGAGGGGGATTGGCTTACAGGGAAGTACATTCACCAAAGGGGGTGGCTTTGCATCAAGGACAAACACACACAACTGTCACACCGTTGCCTGGTCAGTCATTAAACTGTTTTTCAAAGGCTCTCTGATGCGCAGTGGGCCTCGGTGTGCTCTTTTTATTGCCCTGGTGTCCGGCTGTTCAAAATTGGTCACTAGGTGATTTACCTCAACCTCCCACCCCGCCATAAACGTCTCTCCCCTACTCTCACAGAGATATCTGCTCAGCAAGCAGCAAGAACAATGGGAATATTGCTTTTGCTGAGGTCTGACCTACTCAACAAACAGCCCCAGTGCCCTTTTAAACACCCAAAGGCACATTCTACCACCATTCTGCACTTGCTCAGCCTATAGTTGAACTGCTCCTTACTGCTGTCCAGGCTGCCTGTGTATGGCTTCATGAGCCATGGGAGCAAGAGGTAGGCTGGGTTCCCAAGGATAACTATTGGCATTTCAACATCCCCAAAGGTAATTTTCTGGTCTGGGAAGGAAGTCCCTTCTTGCAGCTTTTCGAACAGCCTAGAGTTCTGAGTGTCATGCACCTTTCCTGACCAGCCCACTTTGATGTCGGTGAAATGGCTCTTGTGATCCACCAGTGCTTGCAACACCATTGAGAAGTACCCCTTGTCGTTTATGTACTCTTTGGCAAGGTGGTCCAGTGCCAAGATATTTGGAATGCATATCCCTATCTCCCCACCACAGTTAGGGAAACTCATTGCAGCAAAGCCATCCATTATGACCTGCACATTTCCAAAAGTCACTATGCTTGTTAGCAGAAGGTTATAGATTGCCTTGGCTACTTGGATCACTGCAACCCCCATGGTAGATTTGCCCATTCCGAATTGATTACTGACTGACTGGTAGCAGTCAGGCTTTGCAAGCTTCCACAAGGCTATCGCCACTCACTTCTCAACTGTCAGGGCAGGTCTCATCTTGGTATTCCTGCGCATCAGGGCAGGGGAAAGCAACTCACAAAGTTCCATGGAAGTGCCCTTATGCATGCGAAAGTTTTGCAGCCACTGGGAATCATCCCATACCTGCAACACTATGCGGTCCCACCAGTCTGTGCTTGTTTGCCGGGCCCAGAATCGGCGTTCCACTGTATCCACATGCCCCAATGCCACCATGATATCTCAACTGTCACATCCCATGCTTTCAGGAACGTCTGTGTCCTTGTGCTGGCAGCTCCTAGCTAGGCTCCGCACATACTGCAGGATAATACGTGAGGTGTTTACAATGCTCACAAAAGCAGTGTGCAGGTAAGCGGGCTCCATGCTTGCCGTGCTATGGTGTCTGCACAGATAACCCAGGAAAAAAGGGCGCGAAACAATTGTTTGCAGTTGCTTTCAAGGAGGGAGGAAGGGGAGGTGCTATAGAAGTGCAAAGTATTATAACTAAACAAAGGGCATGGGTCAAATTCTTTGCTGGTATAACTCCATTGAAGTCAAATGAGGTATGCCAGCAGAAAACCTGGCAGACCTATCTAGATGGTGCACAATGGACAGATAATATTACTAGCAATAGATCAGCTATAAGAAGTAGAGTGCACGGTGAAGCATGAATATGACCTAAACATTTTAGAGTATTTCACACTTCAGTTCACTCATATTTAAAAAGTGGAATCAAAAGTTTAAAGCTAGTTCTCAGATTTACTGAGGTGTATTTGGAAGTGATGGTAGCTGCCGGAGCAAAAACAAACAAACAAAGACACAAAACAAAACAAAAAAGAGACATGAAATTTGCAGAAGTGGAAATAAATTAAATAGGCAATGGAATTTATAATTGATTATGAACACATGATCAATGAATGGGGAAAGTCAACAAAAAGGTGCTACAATGATTTACAAAAAAAATATTCAAAGTAGGAACAAGAATCTTGATAGCCGGTGTTCTTAAATACGTGTAAATTTTGTGGAGATTAACAAATGACAAGAGATTTGACTAGTGCCCTAATATGAACACAAAGTAATAACTCTGAATCACAATAAAACTCCACATTCCCAAATAAGGAGACAGGATGCCAATGAGTTGAAGTCACCTCAGTGAGGCAAGTCAGGAGATGGTACATGCTCCAGACATGCCCATCAAGTATGCACATCAACCAAAATGAATAATCTGCCCTTACTCTTGTTCATTTTAGTCACTTTACTATTACTTGAATTCTCAGCACTGAGGAAAGCACCAATTTAAATAAGGGGGCATGTAAAGGAAACTTTTGATACAGCATGTTATTAATTAGCAGAAATAGTGTCAGAGTATTATGTAGGCAAATGTTTTAGTAACTTTCAATAACAGATTAGACATTTGAATACAGATAGGTGGGATAAAATTATAAGGCCCAACTTTAGGGTGGTTTTATCCTGCTGGAGAAGGCTTGAGCATTGGCCACTATCAAAGAAAAGATAGCAAGACTAAATGAACCACTGGTTTATTCTGCTACAACAAGAGGTGATATACTGAATAAATATACCATTTGTCTTCTGATATGGCAGTAGGAATAGATACTGAACTAGATGGTGTTGGTTTACTACAGTACAGAAATTCTTACTGTGACGGTGCACTCCATATGATGTTATGAAAATATGCTAATGAGTGTGAATATAATGTAACTAGAATATGCTTCATGCAAAATGTCTCTTGTAAGGTATCATTACAAAGCTTATAATCTACTGAGTGGTCATCCTATTTGTATAAATGTATCATTCTTGTATCTGAAACTAGAAATATGAAATATAACTCTGAGGTCCTATTGTAATTATGCAAAAAGTGTGGGCCATTAATGGTGGCTTGGAATCTTGATGGCTCCCATTAACCAGGACAATTGGTTGTGTGACAAAGTTCCAAGCCTGTACTGGTAGGTCCTGCGTAGGGTAACCAGATGTCCCAGTTTTGTAGGGATAGTCGCGATTTTTGGGTCTTTTTCTTATATAGGCTCCTATTACCCCCCACCCCATCCCAATTTTCACATTTGCTGTCTGGTCACCCTAGTCCTGTGCTTCTGGGCACATTCAGTGGCCTCAGAAACTTGATAAGGCCCCAATGTGACCTCCCTTTCTCAGTGTAGTGGCAAGAGTCACAGCCTATTGAGTTACTTTCATCACCTGCCAATATGGGAGATGGGAAGGGAGAATACCCAACAGTCTCTGTTGCTCCGAAGAGCTCAGTAGGCACAGTTCGGCCTCCTGCCTGGACCAAGTCCTGCTTCCCTTCTCCAGGGGATCTCTGTAGAGTATGAGGGGGGGGAGGAACCCAGGCCCACCCTCTACTCCAGGTTCCATCACAGGGACCCTAATGGTAGCAGCTGTTGGCAGCTTTCCCTTCACCACTGATGCTGCTTTGATTCCCTGGGCCACTTCCGCCATGGTCCCCTTTTCCTAGCTTCACCCTTACCTCAGGATTCAGCAATGCTTCCTCTCCTCCAGCTCCTTTCAACTCAGCTCCCTAGAGGGCACTGGAAGGAGAGCTTTTAAACAGTATAAGTGGGACCTTGATTGGTTCCAGCTGTCTCCATTAGCCTAACGGCCTTAATTGGTTAATTGGTATCAGGTGTCTTAATTGGCCAGGAGTAGCCTTTGTTTGGCTATCCAAGGAACAGGGACCTGCTCATTTTGAAGGCTGATATACCTACCTTCCATCACTCTCTTATATTCCTCCGGTCTGAATCTGTCACAGTTGTAATGACTCTGTTTACTTGTAAGTCTTCCTGTATACCTATGTGCTGGCAAGCGGGTAATGAAGTCTTACAGTGACATGTGATCATGTCACCTGAACTGGAATCCATCTTTAACCTGGGGCTTTTCCATTTAGAAGGAAGGGTGGGAACCCAGAGAGGGACAAATGATTCCTGCATTGTGCAAAAGCTATATAAGGGGGTGGAACAGAACAAATGGGGCAGCAGTTATGAGAAATCCCCTAGCTACCACCTAAGCTGGAACAAAGACTGTACCGGGGAAAGGATTGGGCCCAGACTAGAAGGAGGCTAGTCTGTCAAAGAAGCTTGTTGGAACATCTGAGGGTGAGATTTACCTGCATTTAGTTTTTTCTGTATTAGGCTTAGACTTGTGTATTTTTGATTTATTTTGCTTGGTAGTTTACTTTGTTCTGTCTGTTATTACTTGGAACCACTTAAATCCTACTTTTTGTATTTAATAAAATCACTTTTTACTTATTAATTAACCCAGAGTATGTATTAATACTTGGGGGTGGGGGACAAACAGATGTGCATCTCTCTCAATCAGTGTTATAGAGGATGAACAATTTATGAGTTTACCCTGTATACGCTTTATACATGGATTTATTTGGGGTTTGGACTCCATTAGGAGCTGGACATCTGATTGCTGGAGACAGGGGCACTTCTTAAGCTGTTTTCAATTAAGCCTGCAGCTTGTGGGGGACGCGGTGCAGACTTGGATCTGTGTTTGCAACAGGCATGCGTCAAACAAGGCAAGGTACTGGAGTCTCACGCTGGCAGGGAAAACGGGCTCAGAGGTAGTCCCAGCACACCAGGTGGCAGTCCCAAGGGGGTTTCTGTGACCCAATCCGTCACACTTACATTCCTAATTTTTTTTTTAAATGACTGATGTTTGTACAGGTAACCAAAGAATAATCTCCAGAGAGTAAGCAACTGTAAATCAAATTTTAGGAGAGAAATTTAAGGCTGAAAAAAGTTGCTACTTAAATATTTGTTCGTCAAAATGTTAGCATGAAAACAAATTCTTAAATTAATTGATGTTTAAATCTGTCTAGATGGAACTATTTACTTTTATTTATTTCAATTTGGAAAAAAAAACACCACTAACCGGAGTTCTAGGCTCGTGTAATTTGAAAAAATAAAACTATACCTCCCTGATTATTTGGACCATTGGTGTGCCCTCTATAGATTTGTCTATACAGCAAGTGGAGGCAAGTCTCAAAGCCCGGGTCAACAGACTTGAGCTCACACTATGGCACAAAAAAGAGCTGTGTAGACATTGCAGCTCAGGCTGGTGCTCAGACTCTGAAGCCTTTCCCTAGGCTTCATAGCCTAGCCTGACCTGCAAAATCATCACAACTATTTTTAGCGCTGCAGCATGAGTCCCGTGAGCCCAAGACTGTCAATCCAAACTCTGAGACTCGTTGCTGCTCACTGTGTAGATGTACCTGAAGGAGATCAAAGAGGTCTCACTCAGCTCTCCTCATTGCACAATATTAAGGCATTATTTCACACCAAAGCAGTCAGTTAGAATAATAATCACTTACACTGACAGTGCAAAATTCTCAGAAGTGGCTAAGAGCTTAGGCATTTGTGAAAATTTTACCCATAGTGCTTTTCACCCCCACTAACCACTATATATACAGGAATCACGTCACTCAATGTAATTAAGCTACCCTGAAATGCAGTATCTGTTTAACACGAATTAAGGCAACAATTAGGACAGGATGTGAACGTGAATCCTGTATCTAAAAAAAACTGCATGGGAAACTCAAGGAGACAGCTTTATGTGTATGTACTGCATCATCATGATACATACCATCACATCCAAGGGGAAGAATTAGAAAATCACAACTGTAGAAATATTGGTTTGAATAGAGGTACAGGAAGACAGGTAGTGTTTCCGACTTAAGCAGGGTCCTTAGTTTGGGAACAGTTTTCAATCCATTATGTATTATTTCATGACAATATGGAGATTTCACACCTCAATTATAGATACAGAATCAATTAACTGAGATCTAAAGCGACGTCTTTGCAGAGTCCTGTTAAATTGGTCTGACCATTCCACAGTTGTGGAAACTGTTATATTCACATCTTGCAGAGGCAGATGGGAGGTAGATTGTGGGGGAGGGAAGGCAGACAAAAGCTGTTGTAGACACAAAGTCTGCCTACAAGAAAACAAACAGGTGAACCCCCTCTCTTTTTAGCTTCTGCTTTCACCAAGAAGCCAAAGACAACAGAGGTAGTGGAAGGAGACACAGCTGTGTTTGAAGCAGAGACTGAAAAGACTGGCATCAAGGTAAAATGGCAGCGAGCTGGAGCAGAAATGTTTGAAAACGAGAAGTATATCATCAAGGCTGAGGGGAACAAGCATTCACTCACTATCAATAACATTGGAAGAGAGGATGATGCAACATATGCTGTAATTGCAGGGAGTTCCAAGGTCAAATTTGACCTCAAGGTCAAAGAGCCAGGTATGGTATCTCCTAAACCACTTTAGCTTATTCAGAATTGCAAAGTCAAGCATTCAGAAATCATGAGCTGGGCCCATAAAATGAGATTTTAATAATAATAAATGTGAGGTTTATTTTTATTTGCCCTCTGGTGCCTGAATCTCACACACCAGCAAATTGTTTTTAAAAGTTCATAAATAAAAAAGTTACTTTTTCATCACTGCTGTTTCTATGTACATCACAGAAGCAAAAGGTAGAAAAATTCTTCAAAACATCTAAAATTTGATATGTCAAAATTATGGCATTTAAAAATTCAAACATCTCCATTGAGAGAGAGAGAGAGAGAAGAGGGTTCTTAACCATCCCAGCTCAAAGCTTGGCAAAGGTAAGCTATTATTATCTGGTTAGAAACCTCATAAGGCTGGTACCTTCCAAGGCAGTGCACCTTCCAAGCTCTACAAGACAATAGCCCATTTCCTGTGCATTTCCTAAGGTTCACTGAAGAGATGCTCCTCTGCACAACTCTCAAGTATATCCCAGAAATACATGGCTTTCTGTAACCTTGCTTTCCATTCCATTTCAGAAAAGTCTGAGGCAGTTCTTCCTACTGAAGCTGTTTGTACCCCAATGGTCTCAGAGTCACCTACACCAGCAGAGACACAACCAGCAGAATGCAGCAAGAGTTCCGAAGGTTTAAAAAAAAAAATGCTAGGACTAACCCTAATCCAGTGGCTCTCAACCTTTCCAGACGGAGTCTGATTTGTCTTGTGTACCCCCAAGTTTCACCTAATTTAAAAACTATTTGCTTACAAAATCAGACATAAAAATACAAAAGTGTCGCAGCAACTATTATTGAAAAATTGCTTACTTTCTCACTTTTACCATATTATTATAAATCAATTGGAATATAAATACTGTACTTACATTTCAGTGTATGGTATATAGAGCAGTATAAACTAGTCATTATCTGTACGGTAGACAATGGTAGAGACCATCCTTGAATCGAGGAATCGCTAATCAATCATGGTTGTATAACATTTTAGTTTGTACTGACTTTGCTACTGCTTTTTATGTAGCTTGTTGTAAAACTAGGCAAATATCTAAATGAGTTGATGTACCCCCCCCCCCCACAAAGACCTCTGTGTACCCCTGGTTGAGAACCACTGCCCTACTTGACCCACTGAAAGAAAGAATAGGGACAAGGGATCCCAACATTGATGGTGGGGGAAAACAGGACCAGGAGGAAGAAGACAAGTGATAAGCCCCAGCCAAGTGGGAATAAGGAGCTATGGAAGAAATAGGAAATATCTGCGTGGAGAAGAATATTGAGGGAAACATTGAAATGATGTAAAGGATTCACTGTATAGATTAGAGGCTGAAATGGACAGAGTTAATAAATCCAGATATTTGTTTCAGTTCCAGCTCCAGCTCCTGAGGCTCAGCCAGAGCCTCCTCTGGACCCTGTTGGTCTCTTTGTGACACGGCCTCAGGATGGAGAAGTGACTGTCGGTGAGTAAAAGACTTGATTTTTGTAAGCTGCTAAGCGACTACCTTAGTCTCTCTCTATATAGCACAATAGCAACGATCTAACAGAAATACTAAACATCACTCACAGCCTTATCTTAACCTGTCTCCCTTTCAAGGTGGAAACATCACATTCACTTGCAAAGTGGCAGGTGCTAGCATGCTGAAGAAACCATCAGTGAAATGGTTCAAGGGAAAGTGGATGGACCTGGGAAGCAAAGTGGGGAAACATCTTCAGCTGCATGACAGCTATGACCGAAACAACAAGGTACAGCCAGCAAAGCAGAGCTCTCAATCTCTCTCTCCTAGCCACTAACCTTTGTTCTGGGGGAAAAGACCTCTTCCCTGGTTGTGACATATTTTGGTACTAAGGTGCCCAAAATGGCACACCGTACCGTATTTCTAATTATGGATACAGATCTATAGTCAGAGGATCTAGACAAAAGTAGAGGCTCAAGGTAGATACTATCACTCCTCGGTTCCATGATAAATAATAAAAGATTTGGAGAACAAAGATTTTTGAGGAAAGGTTCAGCATATGTTCAGTCTGGAGAAGAGTCTGAGTGGAAGTTTGGTAACTGTATGAATACACAAAGGCATACCAGAAAGAGGACAGGAACACTCACTCAGCAGTGACTACGGAATAGGAATGCATGCAGCCGGAGAAAACAAAGAAATGTGTAAAAAAACCCACATAATTATGATAAAAGTCAGTTTAACAATTTGAATAACAAGAACATCCAACGTGACAATAGTAAGGATTTTAAAAAACAAGTTTGGAAAGCATCTAAACTTTAATTCTTCAGAGTGTAAGTCAACCTCTAATTTGTGTTAGAAATAAATGCTCCTTGTGGGCACACGTAACAGGGTTCAACTCACTGCTGGGGCAACCACATGTGACTGCATCTGGGGAATTAGCTCTGCCTGGACTGACACACCTTTCTGTCACTCACTCACTCCATGGTGTCTCTCGCTCTCTGAACTCAGGGTGCTCTCTCCTTGTCACTCGCTCACATCATGGCCCCTCTTCCTCTCCAGGAGTCGCAGTGCTTCCGCTTTGTGGCTTGGCCCTCCAGCCAGGTCATTATACAGTTTTCCCCTTCCAGAAAAGTTTCACTGGACTAGGTGTCCAAGTGCCATTCTAGGCTGTCGTCCCATTCAATACTGTGTCACTTTCCCAGTGGGGGAACACAGGCCCACCTGCTACTCCAGGTTCCAGCCAAGGGATCCTACAAACAGTGCAGACCTTGCCTGCTGATGTTTCCCTGGGCTTCTTCCTACTTTGCCATCTACAGGCTTTCTTCTCCACTACCCCTTTGGGCAAACCACTTCCCTAAGGGTCAGGATCCCAGGGCTTCTGTTTTCTCTCCCTTACCCGCAGGTTTCATTCTTCTCTCCTCACTAGGCCCAGAGAGTGACTACAGACTTTCACAGTGCAGCCCTCTTCTGCTCTCCACTCCCAGCTTTATACAAGCCGCACCTACTCCTGTCTAGATGGGCCCCATCTTCAATTAGTGCTTGTCAATCAAGCCTCAGTCTCCCCCAGGTGCAGCCTTCCAGTTAATTAGCCCCTTCTGAGCCACTTTAATCCCTTCAGGGGTGGTGTGGGCTGAACATCTCATTGCAACAGGTTAATCTGTAACAGCCTACTGCAGGGTTCCTTGCATCTGACTCTCAGGCAGCTGGTATTGGTCACTGTCAGAGATAGTATCCAGAGTTAGATGGACCACTGGACTCATCTAGTATGGCAATTTTCCATTATCTTATTGTATAATTATCCTTACAGGAATATTCAGAGACACTAGCCACTCATACATTGGCGCTGAAATTGACTGCTTTATTACAGTGGGTAAATTATCATAAATTGCTCAACAAAAATCCATTCCCACCATAAATGAGTCTATAACACGAATTCTCTAGTCCAGAGACAGACAGACACCTGGAACACAAAGAAGCCTGTAGTGCGTCACTCTCTCTCCCTGTAGGGATCACGCTAGTGTTATGGTTTGTGATATACTTGCTATGTGTATGCATCTCCACTTCCCTCTACTGGATGGAATATGATAGATTTGCCCATCAGTAACACAAATCCTTCTGAAGGCTGAATTTATGGAACTGCTCTATTAGCTGTATATAGAGGCCTATATTTTTTGGAGATGGAGGACCTGTTCCCCTTGGCCACAAGCATGCAGCTACTTTACCTGATGAGTGTGGTGTCTGTATGCATGCAATCACAGACTAGTACAACAGTACGATTTGCTGCTATCAACATCCTATCCCCTGGAAAACCTCTGCAGATAATGTCCTTTAAGTGTTCAAAGTGGATTAGAGAAATTTTACCTTTATGACAACTCCTCACCCAGCCACAAGTGAGACAGAGAGTTGCACGTACAGGGAACAAAGTGGGGTTTTTAACGAATTCCCGCCTTTGTCTATCACTGTTAATGTTCTGGTATGCTACATTTGTTTCTATGCATTTTTTACCCTTTTATTTTCTAATTTCCTTGCTCTGTGGGCTGATCTATTTTTTAGGTTTACATCTATGAAATGCACATTATCCAAGCGAAAATGACTTATGCAGGGGGGTATAGATGTGAGGTGTCTACAAAGGACAAATTCGATAGCTGTAACTTCAGCCTGATTGTCCATGGTAAGATTATATGTTTTCAACATTACAGAAATGTGTTGCTAAGTCAGGGGTGAAAGTGGGCCGGTACAGCATACCGGTAAAAAGCGGCCGCCGGTACCAGCCCATACGCAGCTGACGTTAAAACGCTACCGCGGCAAAGGACCCTGCTTCAAGCGCTGCCATGGCAGTGCTTTAATGTCATTGCCCCTTCCTCACCCCCACGGCTGCCAACAGGGGGGTGGGGGCAAAAGGGGCAGCTGCCCCAGGGCCGGGGATTTAAAAGGCCCTGGGGCTCCCGACCGCTGCTTCTGTGGCAGCAATCGGAGCCCCAGGCCCTTTAAATGGCTGCCGGAGCACCAGGCGGCACAGGCCAGGCAGGTTGGATGGGCTGGTTGGGGGAGGCTGACCCCCAGCCCCGCCCCTTCCAGGGGCCCAGAGCCAGGCCCCTGTACCAGAAAGAGTTTAATGTTACTTTCACCCCTGTGCTAAGTTAAGCTCTATCTTATCCTCACTCTGTCCTCCCTGTGTACAGAGTAACCTCTCTCCCCAATAAACAGTGGCCACCAGAAGAGGGTGTAGGTCAGTTTGAGAGGAACTGGCAGAGCTATATGTAGGCCCAAAACTAGAATAGCAGGAGTGCAACAGATGTGGACTGAGATGCATTGGCAGAACTATGGGGGAGGGAGATGGCCTCTAGAAAGAAAAGTAGTATGTAATTCAAGCCAGAATTGAGATGCACTGAAACAACAACATGAAGCAAAAGGAGAATTAGCCTATATTATTCTTGGCTTTATCCGGACTTCAGTCCCACACTTCCATGAGCACTAATTCAGTAAAATTTAAAAATAAAAGTCTGAGAATTAACTCTAGTCCTAGGTTGCCAAAGGCTCTGTATTTGAACATGGACATTTAAGAAAAAAAAAAAAAGGAAAAAAATACTTGGAAAAGTTCAGAAAGCTAACACATTACTTCCTTTCCTCCTGCCAAATTCAAGCACTGCAGGAGTTTCTGGCAGTATAAAATTGCAACAAGCATAGTTGACTAGTTTTAGCAAGGGATTTACTCTAAACAGTTGCTCTCGTGTGCCTGAGGACAGCTGTATTGTAAAAACTGACCAGTGATTAAAAGGGAAGTACATTTAACCATCTATTTACCTCCAGTGTAAAATAGGTCACCAGGGATTTGGCTAAGACAGTGGGAGCATGATTCACCCTTGCTGGTGCAGTATTTGCACCACTCTCCTTCCTCAGGGGTTGTGTTGAGGAGTGGTAGTTTTAATTTGTGACTGGGGCTCCATAGGAGCCTCACAGTACAAGCACTGACTTTTGTTTTTCCGGGTGGGTGCTCCAACCCTACTTCACTAGGAGACCCTGCTCTCAGTGGGCTTCTTCCTGTCACCGCAGGAAGGTATAGGGCAGGGGTCGGCAACCTTTCAGAAGTGGTGTGCCGAGTCTTCATTTATTCACTCTAATTTAAGGTTTTGCGTGCCGGTAATGCATTTTAACGTTTTTAGAAGGTCTCTTTCTAAAAGTCTATATTATATAACTAAACTATTGTATGTAAAGTAAACAAGGTTTTCAAAATGTTTAAGAAACATCATTTAAAATTAAATTAAAATGCTGATCTTACGCCACCAGCCTGCTCAGCTCGCTACCAGCCTGCTCAGCTCGTTGCCAGCCTGGGGTTCTGTTCAGCTAGGCTGGCAGAGGGCTGATCAGGGCCTGCGGCCTGGACCCCAGACCTGGGGGGGGTGTGTGTTTCAGGGGTCAGGGCAGAGGGCTGGGGGGGGGTGCAGGGCAGAAGGCTGGGTGTGTATTGGGGTGTGGGGGGTTCAGGGCAGACAGCTGAGAGTATGGGGGGTGCAGGGCAGAAGGCTGAGTGTGGGGGGATGCAGGGCAGAGGGATGGGGCTGTGGGGGTGCAGGGCAGAGGGATGGGTGTGTGTTGGGGTGGGGGAGTTCAGGGCAGAGGGGTGGGGGGTGCAGGGCAGAAGGCTGGGGTGCTCGGCTTGTGGGGGTGCTCCCAGCCCCCTGCCCTGAGCAGCTCAGGGCAGGAGGCTGGAAGGGATATGCCCTGTTCCACTCCCTTCCCCCAGGCTCCGTCCCTACCTCTCTCTGCGACCCCTACGGAGCTGTGTGCATGCGGCTGCTCTTCCCCCTCCCTCGCTAGGGCCATCAGCTGATGGGCGCAAGGACGGAGAGGAGGAGGGGCAGGAAAGAAGGGGGAAGAAGAGGGGTAGGGGGGAAGCTTGGCTGCTGCAGAACCAAGCTTCTGCCTCCTGCCCCCGCAGGGGAGAGTGGTGGGCGGGGAGGCTGAGTGAGGCTGGGGGTCGGGACCGCGGCAGGGAGCTGCGTGCCACTCAAAATTGGCACACGTGACGTAGGTTGCCGACCCCTGGTATAGGGCATAGGTTGACTTTCAGTCACTGGAGGCTCTCCATCCTAGGCTATGCCAACAGAAGCTGTTTTAAATTGAAGATTAATCAAACATTTTATAAGCAGCTTCACAGCTGGAAACCTCTCCATGCTTCTGTTAATCAAGGGAATTTATCTTCTGCCTCTACAGATCGATTATAGTTCATTAATGGTAATATTACCATTTGGACCGTCTCTAGCTCCTTTCAACTGAGGATTTCAATGCATTCATGATGTCAATATTCAGACCAGATTTTACAGAAGACAATGTGACTTTCCCACTGTCAAACTACAAATTAATGTGAACCTTGGGATAGAACCCCAGACAGTTACTTGCACTAATCATGGCCACCATTCACTAAGTGATTAATCATAGTTAAAATATAAGATCTTTGAAACAAAAATAGCTTGAAAGGAAAAATTTTTGTAGTGGTGCTGTCTCTTTTTCAAGAACACTCAACTGTTTTCCTCACCCTCCTTTTCTGTTGTATGCCATATCAGAAGCACCAGCAACAGGAGACATGGATATCCGCACTGCCTTCCGCCGAACGTGAGTAGGAAGCTTGTGCTTCCATCTGGAATTCATTACCTTCCTAGACAAGATCATGTATGAGGAAAACTGTTGTACAAATAGCTATTATTACATATATCTTTATAAGTCTATATTGTAAATGTTTCTAAGGCTAAAATGCCACCCTTGACTCCTAGACATCATCTAAAAGAGGTTGGCTCCTTACTATGCAACAACAATCGCGATCTTCAATTATTTCAGAGATAACAGTTTTTCTAAGAATTGCACTAATTTTTTCTACAGTGTGAAAAGAGCATTTCAGGTACAAATCAAAAGGGGAGCTAATGATCCTGTGTTGTTCCCAGGCTGTATGGCTTGGACCAACCAATGCTTTCCAAAATGGTTTAGATGAGCCTGAGGATCTACTTGTGTCTTAAGACACTCTTGCACTAGACAGGGATCAAGAGTTTGGACATAAACACTATAAACAGTATATAGCTGATTAATAAAATTAAATATAACCATACTGTAATGTTTTGTAATTTTATTTCTCGATTGAAGTGCAATCAATGAGATTTTGAATGTATGTGTGAATGGTCAGGTATATATATACACACCTCCTAGACTATTAAGAGCCACAGGTAGGGTTGCCCCACGGGGCAGGCAGGCTCCGTGCCCAGCTCTCGGGAAGCAGCTGGCTCCGCGCACTGCCCCCAACCGCAGGCGCCACCCCAAGTGCTGACTCCGCAGCTCCCACTGGCTGCAGTTTGCAGCCAATGGGAGCTGTGGGAGTGACGTCTGCGGCAGCGTGCTGAGCCCCTTGGTCACCCCTCTGCCTAGGAGCTGGAGGGACATGTTGCCACTTCCCAGGAGCAGCTTGAGGTCAGCTGTGCCTGGAGCCTGCACCCCAAACCCCCTCCCATGCCCCAGCTCAGAACCCCCTCCCACACTCCAAACCCCTCAGTCCCAGCCTGGAGCCTCTTCCCTCACCCCAAACCCCTCATCCCCAGCCCCACCCCAGCGCCCTCACCCTTTCCCACACCCCAACCCCCTGCCCCAGCTTGGTGAAAATGAGTGAGTGAGCAAGGATGGGGGAGAGCGAGTGACTGAGGGAGGGGAAATAGAGTGAGCTGCGGCCTTGGAGAAGGGGCAGGGCAAGAGTGTTTAGTTTTCTGTAATTAGAAAGTTGGCAACCCTAGCCCCAGGACATTACATAGGTGTTGAGAAAGGCCACTCTTCCCAAATCTGCAATAAATTCTCAATTGACCTAGGAACTCTTAATAGAGCTGCCCTGACCTCTATTGGTTAAATTGAAAGAGCTGTTACAGATTTTTGGTAAAGTTTAGGAAGTAACTTGCAACTATATTCATTACTGAAAATTCATTTATCTTGTGTGTAAATCAGTGTTTTTTCCCTAAGTTATCAATAAAAAAACATTCCAACAGCCCTCAGCTGTAACAAGTACAGTCCACCAGGGCAATATGTGTGTGACGGGTTGGATCACAGAAACCCCATGGGAGCTGCCACCCGATGTGCAAAGACTACCTCTGCTTCTGTTTTCCCTGCCAGCTTAGGACTCCAGCACCCTGTCTTGCTGAGGCAGACACTCCCGTCTGGCTCCAGACACAGACCCAGGGTCTGAATCACTTGTCCCAAAGCTGCAAGTTTACCTG